ATTAGGTGATTATCCTGACATCTCTTTCCAAAAGGCTGTTCTCTGTGAGCTACTTATTAGTTCATCTTCATTCTTTTAGAACAATGTTCAGAAATAAAGAAAAACTGCCTTCTGCAGTTGTAAACCTTGACTAATAAGTATTCTTTTGTATAATGGGCACAAAAGCAGAAGCAGAGCAAAATACCCAATTTCCAGGTAAAATCTCCAGGGTTTGAGTTTGAAAAGGCATTCCTAGAAATTCTAAGTAATTGCAGTAACATTCTTTAGAGCCAGTATCAAAACAGAACATTTCAACTCACTAAACTGATTTTTGTCTCCAATTGGCAAAAAGTTTCCAAGCACTCATCTTTGTTATTCCAAATATCTGGCATAGAACAGACAGAACTTACAGTGATGTGGCCTTTTAAGAATCTATAGAAATGGGCTTGACAGTTGTAGTCTAAAATTAAGCAACCCCTAAAAGCTGACTGGGACTATTGTGGCAGGGAAGAGCCTTAGCAGAGAATGAAGCTGGTAAGTGAGTGGGGTAAAGGAGGCTGTCTCAGTGATCATCTGCCTTGCTGCTACAGCTGCACACTGATACTGTCCACAGCTGGCACATCAGTATCCACCAAGCTATGAGTGTGCCCAGGCAGGATTTGGGGAGAAAGGCACTTAAAACTTGCCTTTCAAGGGGGTTCTACTCAAGAGAAGGGTTTTTGGTAACAGGCATTTGGTCTATGGAAGACTGAGCTAAAAAAATTAAACATCACAAAGCCTAACAAACACATCATAAATAAACGGGGGTGGGGAGGGTGGAGAGAGTAATATTTAATAATTGAACAAAGCATTGAATGTTTAAAGACTGAAATGTTTTTGTGGTCATTCGTGTCATACTACTGTGGCATCCAAACCTGTGCACAGTCCCTGGGCTGGTCCTTGCTTTCTACATTGCCCCAAATACTGTCACTTTTGCTGCAGGCAAGATGGGCTTCTCTAGTAAGGGCGATTAAGAGCCAGTTAGGAACATAAGCTTCTTACAGATATTTCTACATATTTCTTGGACTATTATTGAGGGCAGGGGTGGGCTTCTCACAGAAGAATGCCATGCTAAGCTGAGCTGAGCAAAATAAACACCATTTTCTTACAACAAAGATGAAGAAAACAGAAAATACATGTTGGAGGAGAATTGAAAATGAAAAAAAGAGACAAGTAAAAGAGCTTCTGTTTGGAAGAAGGTTGCTCACTGCCCCTGGGTCACCTTGAACCATTAAGTGAGATCTGTGCAGCTCTGCTAAACCTCGTGTCATCTAGCTGTGAGATCTGCCTGAATGCCACTGTCTGTAGAAACCTGTGCAGCTCTGAGAGGGAAAAACCTTTTGGATGAAAGCGTCGTATCTGCTGCTTGAACAGTACTGACAACCCTCTTTGCAGTGTGTGCCTATGGCTGTTGACAGCCTGCACTGCTGCTCTTTCAGATGCTTTGCCCCTTTTCCCAAGCCAAGAAGTGATACACAGTAAAGAAGCAGGAAAAAGTGAGTAAGAGGAAAGCAACATGATGACATAATCCATTAATAAAGTCAAACACCTCTCTGCTCTCTCCTTTCCAGGGCTTTTCCACAGCCCAAGTCACCATCGGAACAGCTGAGTATGGTGAGATTACTCCTGTGTGCACTTGTTTGCCAAACTCCATCCAAAAGTTGTTTTTCTTTAGTACCACAAGGCATGCTTTCATGTTCTAGAAAAATACACCTAACTCTTTACATAAGCAAGTCTAGTATCCTCTCAAACACTGCTGTCAGTTACACACTCTTAGATGTAGTAATGCCCCCGAGCTGAATGTCTGGTTAGAATACCAAGCACATGACCCATGACTGCTACCTTGTGTTTGGATGCCTGATGCTTTTGTCACATTTCACCAACTGATCTGCATTAGCAACCTTTGTAAAACTCCAACTATACTTTATGCAAAGCTTATGTAAGTCCCCTAGGATTAATTACCTCGCTCCGAGTCCAATTTATTTAGCAATTAGGAAAAAAATTGACAGTAGCTGGTGAATTTGCTGTTTTCAAATGAAAGGCCAGACCTTTAGGTCTGTTGCCTTAGGCTAAATGTGAGTTTTAGAAATGCGTTATTGGAAAGTCTCTAAATAAGTATTTTACATTGCAATCTTTTTTCCATCATTTACCCTCCAAATAACTTCCCTGTTCAAACTGTGAACATACTAATGAAAAAACCAAAAAAACAGGAAAGTAAATTGTTGACATCGTAGCTTTCAGTATCAACTTCTCTTTCTCAGCCTGAATTCATCGAACTGGTAACACTGGTCTCAGGAAATGCACTGTGATGCTATGTTAAATGTTGTGATACCATCGAGGAACCACCGATAAATGCTATCAAGGAGAAACCTTGTCATCATCATCATTGAAAGGCTTAGGTTGGTAGGGACCTTTACAGGTCATCTTGTTTCAACTCCCCTGCAACAGGCAGGGACACCTTCCACTAGACCAGGTTGCTCAAAGCCCCATCCAACCAGGCCTTGAACACTTCCAGGGATGGGGCATCCACAGCTTCTCTGGGCAACCTGTTCTAGTACTTCACCACCCTCACAGTGAAGGACTTCTTCATATGTCTAATCTAAATATGGCCTCTTTCAGTTTAAAGCCACCGCCCATTGTCCTATCACTACTTGCTCTTATAAAAAGTCCCTTTACAGGCATGTCCTACGCAGAATTCCAGCACCAGAATAACACGCTCTACAAAACAATGGGATCTTTGAAATACCATGTAATAGAGTGTAATCACGTGGTAAATGGATATCATAAACGGGCTGTGAGGAAGGATCTCTCAGTCTCCACAAGCCTCCTAGTGCCCCGTTGCAGAAGAGGAGACCTGTAGGCTGCAAAGCCCCAGGGCTGGGCAATGCTGGTAGAATTAAAACCCCAGCTGTGCACAGAGAGACAAAGACAGTTGCCCAGGCCATCCTGCAGCCTGGCCACTCCAGGGAGCTGCTCTTTCAGCACATTTACACCAGAAGTCACAAAAGACTATGGTTTTTGAAGACAACCTTTGGGACTTTTTACACAGCATCTGTACCTGGGAAATCCTCCTCCCTACGCCCCATGGCTTTAAGAGTCTTTCCACTACCACCAGCCCTTGTTATAGTGGGGCAGGTTATCGGGACAGTTAAGGAACCTCTAAACCCATCTTTCAACTTTCATTCTGCCCATTTGGCTCTAAGGGCAGGGGTCAGGACCATTGGTTTCATTGTCTATTCAATGACTTCTATTCAGACTGTCTATTCAACCACAAAGCAGCGTCCTGCACAGCACATTCAAATCACGTAATTTCACATATTACTAGCATTTTCTGAGAAACAGCTTAACACATATAGCAAAATTACTCAGAGCATGGCAGATGAACAACTGCCGTACAGAAGCTACATACAGAGCATGAAGCTACAGCATGAAGGGGCTGTAGTTATCAGAGTTCCAGTGCCAACTTGCCAATGGGGATGGACAGTACCATAGCAGCTGAGGTTTCAGCCTAAAGCAATATAAGTATTTGGGTATCACGCTGCTTGATTAACTCACTAGATAACTTAATGTGAGACAGCTGAAGAAAGCCTTAAAGAGACCAAGCATGTTCCTAATGTAAAGCTTGCAAGGGCTCCCTTCAGTGTACTAGCTTTTCTTAAGGGACATTTAAGGTTTATTTGGCCCATTTTAGGGATCTTTTACACCTCGTGCTGATGTGTGCTTGATGTTCACCTTGCCTCTCCCTATACTTACTATATATACATCTTTTATGACGGAACTCAACAAGTAGACTGCATCTGATTTCCTCATTGTTCATCTGGTTGTACGCTTTCAGGATATTAAAATCCCTTGATGGCTTTCACCTATTACACTGACTGTTAAAAATAAAGCCAAGCAAAGTATACACTGTGGAATTCTTACTGCTGTCCGCTGGCTCCAGATAGTGGTGGCTCTCTGACCTTCCACAAGTTTTCTGGAAGACATGTCATGTTAGTGGCCCTTTTGCCCCAGACATAGTTCATATTAGCAGATTTCTTTCCTTATCTCTTTCTTCCAGAGCTAAGTGTCCACTAGCTCCTGAAAGCTGAGTCTTGTGAGTGTGCATTATAGGGCACATATTTTAAGTTTTCTGCAAACCTGCTACATTCTTCATGACCTTCTACAGTGTCCTATGGTCTCATCCACTGGTGATCATGTAATGTGTCCCAACTATGCACCTTGGAAAATGTCATCTAATGTGATTAAGCCCGGAGTTGCAGAAGAGGATCTGCTGTGCACTTCCTTTCTTTCTGGAGAATTGGGAAGCAAGAGAACTGCTCCCTGCGGTACACATGCTTCAGAGCAACAAGGAGGCAGCATTAGCAAAGGACACCAAGCCCTTAAGGATTCACCGCCCCTCATCCACTCTAAGTAATAACCTGAGAGGCCAAGGAAAGCTGTCACGGGTCCTCTGATTTACAGCTATTCAATGTTTGACCCTCCTTCTGCAGGAGCTGCCCCAGCTGCAGTCTTAAAGACAATAGCCAGGGAGAGATACATGGAGAAAGGTCCCTGGGAAAGTAGTTCACCCTCCTTCCTCCCCCTCCTCTGCACTGGGAGCTTTGCGTTTTGCTTCTGTGACACATCAGGTGTAGGTAGCTGCTGCGCAGCACAGACAAAAGTCAAAGAGCAAGTGCAAACTGGGATTTTAAACCTTCCATGCTCAGACTTGGTAACAAAGCCACTTCACCAGATTGATGCATTGAGGGGTCTTAAAGCAGAGTGAAAAAGGGCTGTGCTCTATTGTCTCCGTATCGCACTGCCTCTTTAAAATCAGAAATGCATGGACAGCTTCAAGGTGCCTCCCACTGAGAAAAGGCTTTAGATGCATGCACAGAGCCAGCGGAGCCATCCTCCCCTGAGCAGCAGGGCAAACCTGCTTAGGAGAGAAATGATCATTCAGCAAAGAAAGCCCTCTGGCTGCTTTCAGTGATCCTTTCTCTGCTCCCGTGACAGCAGCACATTTGCAGGGGACAAACCTGGAGGCTATCCCCATGGTGCCCGAGACCTCCAAGAAGATGAGAGCAACTGCAGGTACAGTTAGCTGCTCGTGTTATGTCAGTTTGTGGATGGTTGCATTGCCTGTATTTATTTTAAAGCTCTCTCTTGGCATTTGGCAGGGAAACCTGTCTGGAACAGATACTACACCTTGCTTTGACCAATATACAGGTTTTGCATCCAAGTATTTATTTAGTACTTCTCTTAAACGAACATTCACATTTCCAGGCAGCTGTGGGGATGTCTTGGAAAGCAGTCAATTGTTTGAACTGTTATTTAGTTTCAGGCTTTGGTTTTCTTTTATTCTGTTGTTCTGCAACTCTTCAGTTTGAAAAGCAATGTGGAGACAGAAGTTGTATGAGAGAGTTTCTCTCAGAAATTTATTAAGTATTGGTACCTCAAGGGCTGAGGGTGGTTCCAGGCAAAGAAGGGGACAACAGCTCTGCTATGCAGATTGTCCTTTGTAGCCATGCTGGACATTGTTTGATAGCATCCAACACCCTGAAGACATACTGCCTCAACCCAGAGAAGTGGTAATGCCCCCCGATTCTCTTCTAGGATGGTGTGGGACTGTCCTGACAGCTGGGAGTTTGGTGCGAGGATTTCTAGATGTGGCATGGGAAGACACAAGAAGACAGCTTTCCCAGCATTTTGTTAGAGAGGCAGGATTAGGGAATAGGTTAGATTTTTTTACATCAGTATGGAAATTAAAACAGTTTTTAATAGTTGGTACAAGCAGCAGTACAAAGAGGGAAGCCTGTTCCAGCCTTTACAAGTTCAAGGCACTTTGCTGGGCAGGCAAATGTGGCATTCACAGGGGGAGCACCTTATTTAAGGAAGATTTTCCCTTTCGCCTCAGGAGTCTGTGGATGCAAAGCCCTACAAGCTGGTTCACAGGACTAAATCTTGTCTATACAAATTGGCAGAGCTTCACTGGTTTGGGAGAAGTAATAATGGATTATGCTGGCTGAAAATCTGGCTGCCAAAAAGAAAGTGCTGGCTTCAATGTTTTCTTGGGGCTTGGCAACTCTTGTTTAATTAAGAAATGTACTTAGAAGCTAGGACATCAGTCCTGTTTTCATTCTCACCTTCCACATTGCCCTGACTGAGACATCTAGAATAAAGCAAAAATTATTGTCCACAAGGCACATCAGATACCTTTCAGCAAATTGAGGTGTCATCTCATTTCAGCTTTTTCACCTTGCACAGGGATGACAGCACTATGGGCTAAAAGGCTGGTGGAGGTTTAAGCTGGATTTTACACTCGTATATTATCATTTCACTGTGTGCTGAAAACAAAATTTCATCATTGGTAAATAAAAATGCTGGGTGTAACAACCAGTGTATTACACAACTCAAGGGATTTTATGATAACAGAAGCATCCTTTCGCAGAGTATTTCTTCCTACTGGGCACAGCCAGCATTAGAGCTGTGGGGCAATAAGGTGCCTATTGCTCTGCCTCCAGCACAGTATTTCTGCTGTAATTTCCTCTCAGGAAATGTTTTCCTCTTTTTGTTCCCACAGAAGGAGATAAATGAGGCTGTTGCTCTATAATCTTATGGGGGCAAACACAAGGTGACTCACTGCTCAGAAGGAAACTTTGGATGAGGTCTCTTGCCTGCCAGCGTCATACCCTGCCACACTGGGTCATTCCAACACGAAACCAAGGGCCAGCCAAGCCACGTGTGCCATAACAAGACAGCCATGGCCATGGAGCGAGCTGAACACAACACAAATGCTACCGTTAACCCTAGCTTTGCTGCAATCTACAATCTCCATGATGGGGATTTAACCTCCTTGCGAAACTACTCCTTCCCTTTCAATTTCAGTTACAGTGATTATGACCTGCCACTGGACAGTGAAGACGACATGACCAAAACCCGAACCTTCTTTGCAGCCAAGATTGTGATCGGGGTGGCTCTGGTTGGCATCATGCTGGTCTGTGGCATCGGCAACTTCATCTTCATTGCTGCTCTCGCCCGCTACAAGAAGCTGCGAAACCTCACCAACTTGCTGATTGCCAACCTGGCCATCTCCGACTTCATTGTGGCCATCGTGTGCTGTCCCTTCGAGATGGACTACTATGTGGTGAGGCAGCTGTCCTGGGAGCACGGCCACGTCCTCTGTGCCTCAGTCAACTACCTACGGACGGTCTCCCTCTATGTTTCTACCAACGCTCTCCTGGCTATTGCTGTTGACAGGTAAGTGGGGTGCTGTGACTACACAAGGAGATGGTCGGAACTTCTGAGGTTGGCTGTCCAGATTTCTAGGGTTTAACATGGTCAGCCGTTCTGCAGGATCTGCTGATGCCAAGGTAGGTGCTATGCAGACATGGGTGTCTTATTTAATAAAAATTTAATCACGTGAGGTCATGACATTCCTGCAGAGAAAACTCGGTGGAAATGTCTTGATTTAACTTTTCAGGTGAAAAGGACAGACTTCTTAAAATGATTTTTTTTTATCATAAACATATGCTTGATTCAAGTGTAAGAGAGGATGTGTAAAATAAGGAAAGGACGAGAAAGAAAGAGACAAATGAGAAACATGCACAGAAAAGGGCGTTCATCAGCACTATATAATCCTGATCCAAACCATACATCTCTAAGGAACTTTCACTACGGGTCTACACAGCTATTCTGACTCTAGACAGTGAAGTAAATACTCTTCAGCAAGAGAAATAGTTGAATGGTGACACAGAACTTGACAGGTGAGTTTCCAGCAGGGTTATTACCTTACTGGGCATTTTTTTCTCCCTCTACAGTATTTTCAGTTTTGTTTTGGTATGAAAGAGTCAAAATAAGATTTCTGTGTAGAATGCAAAATAGAGTTCTTAATCCCTGTCATGCTGTACAGGAAAAAAGCCCAAACAATCGCTAAATTAACCATTTGACAGTACTGAGGTCTTAGCTGGATGCACAGTGAGTGTGGCCAGGACTCTCCTCTCCACTAAATTACTCTCCTCTCATGCCATCCTCTCTCTTTACACACCTCTCTGAGGATGACACAGTGGCAAGCCACAAACGACCCACAGGTCATTTATGGCACTGTCCAGAAAATGAGAAAATGCTCCACCAACTCCGTTTAGCAGAGATTTTCCTACAAACTTGGACTAAGCAGAACATAATGATATCCACCTGCTACACTACCTGTTTTATGCTGCAGTCCTGAGGGATGGCTATGCCTGCCTCTCACTCAAGGCATTTTAACAATATAATTTAACTGTATTCTTTCTTATGACTCCTGCTCTCTTAGCCTCATGCGCTGTGGACTCTGCATCAGTCGTGTCAGACTTATGCCAGCATGAAGCTGACCCTCAGTGCCTGCATCCGTCACAAAAAGTCAGAGACCTGCAGAGTAAACTCTTTATGGAAAGGCCATCACAAGCTAATCCACATCTCTGTATACCCTCTGCATACATGCACTGTATGATTCCACACCCCCCTCCCCCTTTTTTCCCCCATGTGTCATTTTATGCTCTAGTCTAATATTTCATAGTTTTTGGTACCTGATCCAAAAGGCTCAGGTCAGTTAACCCTGCTGACGGTTGTATAGGCATAGGCTGTGTGCAACTGATTAAGCTGTTATTGATGTCAAAAGAAGTCTTTCCACAGACTCTGGGAAAATTCAGAGACGTCCTGGTGTGGGAGAAAGTACAATCAGCTCCTATGAAACAAACCCTTAACAAACATCTAACAAAACAACCTTTGAACAGCAGTTGAGGACTCAGGGTTAAGCTTCTAAACACTATCATGTATGCATTACCATTTTCTGTTACTTAACTTCTTCAGCTTCTAAAACATTTTCTTGGAAAGCTCTGCGAGCGCATCCCAGAATGATGAAGTAACATGGGTCACTGAGCCCTTATGCCTACTAAGAAATTAGAAGATTTCTAGCGTATCTCCCCACGCATCTTTAAAAACAATCCTGGAAATAATTAATCACTGAAGTTTGTTGTAAGAACACACTATTATGGTTCCACTGCAGGGGGTTTTTTGTGAGCTTTTGACTTGGTAAACAGAGGGAAACCTTGTTCATTTAACAATCAGTCATTCCACGTTGGTTATGGCACATGGGTTGTTGACTTCGGTTTCTAAAAAGAATAAGCTCCTAACAAAAGTCTTTCCATGCCATTTAGAAGGGCTCACCTGTGTAGAGAGGGTAAACCTGTCCCACAGGATCTCCCCCAGCTCAGGCTCTCTTTCATCTTCCTTGATATCACACAAAAAGTAGGATTTTTGCATACTTAAGGCCACATCTACACTAGAAAATGATGCAGTGTGAAAGGAGAGGATATGAAGAGCAAGAGTTCGTGCTAAGGGTCCAGTGTTCATGCTGTAAATATTTGGGGGATAGCTTTAGTGGGTCCCCTGGACTGAACACTCACGGGCACGTGCTGTGTTTTATGTGCGGCTTTGGAGCACATCTTCCAAGGCAGTTCCATCTGAACTCGGTTCACGTGCTCCAGGACCATTTCACAGTAACAGCCCAAGCGCAGTAAGCAATGAGAATCAGAAAACCTACCAAAAAAGCTCCCTCCTGACTCTCTTGTAGAGATTTACTCCATCCAGCCAAATGTTCTGTTGAGCGGATATTCATACTTATGAATGCATACACATACGTTATCCCACAATCTTGTTTCCACAGAGCCTGATCTAAAAATATTCACTTATCAGCTCACAGTGAGGCTGACTAATTCTGCTGCCCCTTGACATCTAGCCTGCCCTATTAAGAGTGATGAACAATTCATCTGCTTATAAGATCTGGCTGACGAAAAGCACCACTGACTTTCCATTTTATTTTAGAACAAATATATCCTGTGGATGCTACCTATTCATAGACTACATACAGATAGAAAAGCCTCTGAATGAATGAGAAACTCCGGGTTTTGAAAAAACCCTTTGTGTTAAATACAATTGTAGTGGGAACTCTGAAATGCCTCTGACAAAAATCTCCTTTCAGCAAAAATATCCTAATCTTTTTGTGAGAGTGTACACTAATGTAAGTTCTTCCTACATCTGTAGCTTCTTAAAAAATCACCCACACAAATGCCAACAAAAAAAACGCCAAACAAACCAAAATCCAGAGTGAATGCCATTTGGTCCTAGCCCCCTTTTAACTGAATTGAGGGCAAATGATGAATCTTTCAAGCAATGTACTTCCATTTCCCCTCACTTCTTTGTGAAACAGTGCAGTAACATCTTGCAGTTTTACAGTCATAAGGAGTGCAAATACTTAGCTCAAGTTTTATGGTTTGGAATTTTACTTAACACAGCATATTTAAGATTAATTAGCAATATTCACCTCCAGCACATGAAACAAAAATTTGCATGGGCAGAAAAATGATACACAATCATTTGTCGGTGGCTAGAAAACACACTCACTCATAACCATCAGCTTCAGCTATTTGCTCCTCGATAAAAAAAAGCACATATAAATAGTTCTCTGCCTCAGGAAAACATTTTCCTGCTTCTACACGTTTGTATTTTTACCTCTACCTGACCAGGTGGAATTCACATTTCACATTTCAAACTCATTTCCAGCAAAGAATTTCCTGATGCTATACCATGGCACATCCTGGGTATGAGATCACCTGCATATTGTGCTAGGTCCTGCAAACATATTTGCCAAGTAATAGGCATATTACCTCTCTTTCTCCTTTCTACAACTCCCAGACATGTCATCTGTGTTAAAAGGAAAAGTTCGTGATACAAAACTGCAACTTTTTTAGTTTGATTTTGTTAAGAGGTGTGAGTTTAAGACTGAGGTTTTAAAGCTCCCCTCAGACACCCTTAATGCATGTTCAAGTTTTCAGACTGCCAAGCACCTCCTGTCCTAAACTTCAGTCACTTTCTCCAGAGTTTCTGCCTAGATTTAAGAACTCGGCTCTTGGCTGTTACTTTGGAAAATTCTCTTAACTCTCCTCACAGATAAATTTGTCAGGCTTTTCCCTTCTCTCAAGAATGACAGCAATTTTCTTCTGCCTAACTCTGTCCACTTTGTATTCCAAAGTGTGTTTTGACCAGTAGTGTCTTCAGACTTCATTTGGTGTTTGTCTGTTCTAGGTATCTGGCCATTGTTCACCCACTGAAACCACGTATGAATTATCAAACAGCAACCTTCCTAATCGCCTTGGTCTGGATCGTCTCCATACTTGTAGCTATCCCATCCGCATACTTTGCTACTGAAACGGTGTTATTTATAGTGAAAAACCAGGAGAAAATTTTCTGTGGTCAGATTTGGCCAGTTGACCAGCAGATGTACTACAAATCTTACTTCCTTTTCATCTTTGGCATTGAGTTTGTTGCACCTGTGATTACGATGACTTTGTGTTATGCCAGGATCTCTCGAGAGCTTTGGTTTAAAACCGTACCAGGATTTCAGACAGAACAGATCAGAAAGAGGCTTCGATGCAGAAGAAAAACTGTTATGGTACTGATGTGCATCCTGACTGCCTATGTTCTCTGCTGGGCACCTTTCTATGGCTTCACAATTGTCCGTGACTTTTTCCCCACCATCTTTGTGAAAGAGAAGCATTATCTTACTGCTTTTTACATAGTTGAATGTATTGCTATGAGTAACAGCATGATAAACACCATGTGCTTTGTAACTGTAAAAAATAACACCATGAAGTACTTCAAGAAGATCATGCTGCTCAGATGGAGATCAACATACAATGGAAGCAAGTCTAGCACAGATTTAGACCTGAGAACAAGTGCAATGCCAGTCACAGAGGAAGTAGACTGCATAAAACTGAAATAAATCTTCTGCCATCGTAATCTCACGTATTTTGGAGAAGGAGTAAAGAGGAAATAATGCCTCCTCAGAAGCTTCTCCCTTGTTTGTGGGAATACCCACCATTGGTGAGAGCCTTTGAAAAGCAGCCTACTACGCAGTTCCACCAGAACTCTTTTCACTGGACTGCTGTATAATTCTGTAACCCAGACTGATGCTGTGCTTCAGCTCAGTCATCTGTATATTTGGGATGTAGACACTCATTTTAGAGTTGTTTAAAATTTAAGATGAACAAAAACGTCGAATGCATTAAAGCCTATTACAGTGATGGAAGAGTTAATTGCTGATCCTAGCAATGATATCGCTTTGTTTCTTCTACAGAGAAATCTCTTAACCCCTTTAGCTTATCATTTGTACCTGTAAGCTATTTGGTGTCCTTTTCCTTCTGCTCACAAGAAGGAGGATGGCAAAAAAAGCCCATTTTGCTTCATGTCACTCTTTAACCTCTCAGTTTACCCCTCATGATGAAGCTCCTTGAAGTCTGAAGAGCACCAGCTTTCTACTGTCCAATATGCAGCATGCTTTTATGAAAGGCACATTCTCTACAAAGCTAAGTACTGCTTCAGAGTCTAGTGAAAGTCTCAAGTTTCTTTATGTGATACCTTGTTTAAGAATGTTTTATCAATATTCCACTCTGTAGTATTATGTAGTGTTACTCTATTACGTATTTGGAAATGGCACAGTTATGTATTGAAGGGACCTGTTCCCTTCTCTCACCTCGAGGCATTCTAAGGCCAGCTTCTACTGCCTCAAGCCACTGAGCTCTTCACAGAATCCACCACAAAACCTTACAGGTAGGGAACAACATCTGAAGATTGCCTAGTCCACCCCTCTGCTCAAGCAGGGTCAGCTAGAACAGGTTTCCCAGGACTGTGTCCAGTTGGGCTTTGACTGGCGCCAGGGATGGGGACTCCGTAACTTCCCTGGAACATACTGCAGTGTTCAACAGCCCTCACAGTAAAAAAATGTTTCCTAATCTTGAGATAGAACTTTATGTGTTTCAACTTGGTTTTCAGTGGGACCTATATACACATATAGTGTGTTAGTGGGAAAACAATCCACCCTGC